CTGCAAAGTTGGGTCTCCACAAGTGGAGTGCAACTTTTGGTTTTTGAGACCTGAATTGCACTGTTTAATGTGGCTACTCCATCCAAGGTTTTGATTTCTGTTGCCATCATATCAACCGTCAATTATTTCATGCTTGATTTTAATCTTCTACCATGCATTCAACATAGCCTAGGCCTTGCTTGATGTTGGGAAGTCACCCATATCAACTTTTAATTATTGAGTTTATTATTTTACAATTTAAACTATTTTAAATTGTAAGATATAAATTCTTAATTTAAATGAGAAACGATACAATCTAAATTATAAAACATTTTTTTATTAATTATTTCATTCTTGACTTTAATTTTCTACCACGCATTCCACAAGTTGAACCATTACATGTAGGCAAGTTACCTACTTTCCATACAACAAAAACATCAGACTTTGTATTATGCAGAAAACTCAAGCATCTTGCAAAAATCTCTCAACTCTCATTCTATGTTGATTTAACATGTCCACCATGTGTCTCTTGAAAAATATCCCAGCAATTAAAAACTTGAATTCATATTTTAAAAATTTTAAAGTTTAAATCTAATGATAGGTAAAGAGGTATTTTAAAATGAAAGAATTGTTGTCTATTATATACCCATCACCACTAGGTGACATATTTGTTCGGCATAAATCTCTTCAACTTCTATCAATGTAAGTGGCACAAAAATGTCTGATCTAACAATAGCTTTTGTGAAAATGCCATTTGAATATATCTTCTAGGGTATGGAGTTCATGTGCTTTGTGCTGATTCATAGAATGAGCTTTATCTTGCCTGATCTAGAAAATGACAATCACAGTGAACCACAGCTTCAAAATGGAATAAAGCAGGTCCTTTTTTCTTTTTTTTTTGGTACTACAACGAACGGTAAACCATCATTAAAACTATACACATGGTAATGATAATAAAATAAATACCAATTTTTATAATTTTCCATGTAATTAATTATCAAAAGATATATTTATTACATTTTAAAAACACATATCAAACAAACCCTTTAAAAAAATCCTTTCTTTTTTCTTTTTAATTAGAATGTCTTTAAATTAACAAAAGAATATTTTACAATTCAAAATAACCTAAAATGTAAAACAGTGCACCTTTAAATTAATTTAAGTGTGCCTGAAAAGTAGTTTTCTCACAACAATTTTAATAGGGCATCTCCCATGTTGGCCTAAAATCAAGATGCCCAGAAAGATGTGTCAATTTCAATTATCAAAGGAGCGGTGGGCTTTTGCCCCAATTTTCAAGTTTGGGCGAAGCAAGGGCTTGATGCA